ACGTCTGATGATCTTGGTTGTCTTCTGTTGCAGGATGAGGCACTAACAAGCTACTGGGAAGCTCTGAATACATGGGTGATTTTGGAGCTCTCTGGTGGACTTAATTGCTGGGGAATATAATGTCAGTCAGGGTGGGTATTTTCTCTTGGGCTGGTCAGATACTGTCTTTAGATCCTAAGTTGGTAAAGGGACCAACCATCCACACCCAGTTGTTAGGCTGACACTTTGGAATTAGCCTTCTCCCTCTTCCTTGTGTCCCACACTTTCTTGATATTGATGCCATGTCACTGATATGTTTTATGAGTTTATCTGGTGTCCTGCTTTTCCTTTGTCACTGCTTGAAACAGAAGACATCTGTCTTGTTATTAATAGCTGAAACCTTCTCATTCTCTCTGTTCTTCTCCTCAGCTCTAGTGTACCCTCCTCAAGACCAAATGAATGAGTTTAATATGCCAATCTGATCATATCATCAATCTTCTCCAAAAAGTTTTAATAGAGTTCTTGTTCTTAGAGGGTAAAATCTAAATTTCCTGTAAGGAATCCAGGAATCACTGTTACTTGACCACAGACCTTTTCCATTGTGAAGTTTACAGGCCTTTAATACTAAGAGCTTGTAATCCCCTAACATGCTCTGCTGTTTCCTGCTGAACCCTTGGTCTTGGATGCCTTCTTCTAGTTTTGCTTCTGTCAAACTCTTCTTCATTCTTTAAATTTAAGCATAAATATTTGTATTAGGTAACAATCAAAAGAATGTAACTTTCAGGTTAAACATTGCCATTTTCACCTTGAGATATTCATTTTGGATGTAATGGTTATCTCTGCTCCCCTACACTCTTCTTTTTGCCCAGAATTATTGGTGAGATGGAGAGCAGAAAGCTCAGAGAGCCTCAAACCTCTTTCAATCTCAGAAGTCAACCAGCACATTCTTGAATGTCCTCTGCCTTTAAATGTCCCTGAAGGATGAGAAGATATCAAATGTAAAATAAATGGTATTTAACTGCTCCATATTCTTTCTGCTATTCATTACAGTTTGAAGATTTTGGAAAGATTAAATCAAAAGCCTTAGAATTTCCTTTCATTAATGAAATAATCTATATCAGCTTTTGTTTTACTTCCAATTTCCTGAGGCTTTCACTAAGGTTTAAAATAAATATTTAGTCTTGAAGTTATTTCTTAACTTTTTTCTCCCATCTACCTGCAACATGGTATCATCTAAGTGATGTTTATTATTTAGGTTTACAATAATCTAAAAATGTTTCAACTTTATAGCTATAATTTAGCTTCCATTTACAAATAAATACACGTGGTATTTGATTTTCTGTTCTTGTTAGTTTGCTAAGCATAATGGCCTTCAACCCCATCTGTGTTCTTGCAAAGAACATGATCTCTTTCTTTTTTATGGCTGCATAGTGTTCCATGGGGTATGTGTACCACATTTTATTTATCCAATTGGCCATTGATGGGCATTTAGGTTGATTTCATGTCTTTGCTATTGTGAATCATGCTGCAATAAACATATGCATGCATGTGTCTTTATGGTAGAACAATTTTTATTTATCTGGGTATATACCCAGTAATGAACCTGCTGGGTCAAATGGTAGTTCTGTTTTTAGCTCTTTGAGAAATTGCCATATTGCTTTCCACAATGGTTGAACTAATTTAAACTCCCACCAACAGTGTATAAGTGTATCCTTTTCTCTGCAACCTTGTCAGCATTTGCTATTTTTTGCCTTTTTAATAAATGATAGCCATTCTGACTGGTATAAGATGGGAGTTAAATGATGAGAACATATAGACACAAAGAGGGGAACAAGAGACACTGGGGCTTACGTGAGGGTAAAGCATGGGAGGGAGAGGAGCAGAGAAAAGAACATGGGATACTAGACCTAGTACCTGGGTGATAAAATAATCTGTACAACCGCCCATCACACAAGTTTACCTATGTTACTAACCTGCACATGTACCCCTGAATCTGTAATAAAAGTTTAAAAAATAAAAATAGAAAAAGCAAAGAAACAAACAAGAAACTCAAAAACTGTAGTTATATCTACTTAAGGCGATTAGATATAGATATCTTCCAAAACACAGTACATGATTGGTTTCCGAGTGTGTAGTAGTCTTTAAATATATTTCCATAAGAATTATCTGTTGATCTCTCTAACCTGCTTTCACTGATAACTACTGATTATTTGCTGAAGTGTCAAATACCTCAAAGAGCAAGACTGGGAAACAATGGAAACCAGCAATTTTTATCTCCGGTTATTTTTGTTCATTTGTTTTATTGGTGAGGTGTTAAGCAAACTGTGGGTTCCGTGGTGACTGTGATAGTGTTGTGCAGATGATCTGGAACCTGGGATGTAAGTAAAAGAAATGAGCAAATAAAGTTCACATATGTAACCATCCATCTCATCACAACAGTGTTTGATACCAGCTCCACTTTTAAGCCCCACCAATTTTTCTTTCTCTTTTCATGCGATAGACCACTTCCTGAATATTGCTAGATATTTCACAGGAAAATAGAATTTAATGTACTTTAATAAAATTGTTACTTTAACATTTTCAGTGAATGCCTAACTAGAGGTTATTTGTGCAATAATCATTTGGTGACAGAAAAGAATAGTCGGATGTCTAAGCACGTATTTATCAGATACAGAATTGCTCTCACTGTACCTCAACATCTGAGCAATTTTCTAGTAATTCTGTCAAGATGATTTTCTTTCTAATGCCAGAGCAGCATGTGTGATTTATAAAGTAGCAAAAGGTTAATTCAGAGTTTTGTTTGAGTGCTCTTTCTGGAGGTGCTAAGTCAGTGCACCTGACAGAGTTATTAATTACACTATCAACATAAACTTTTCACTTTTTAAAGTTTGAAAAGTTTCTTTGTATTGACGAAGCCTTTTCCTGCTGGCTAAAATGAGTGCAGACTATGTACTTACCCAGAGTTACATCATGGAGGGGATGATCAGCAAATCTAGAAGTTCTTGATTCCAGAGTCAAAATTTGCTGGAAGTCACCCTAATCACATGCAGCACTTTAGGCCCACCAGGACACAAGCCACTCTGGGGTTCCACTTTTATATTTTGATTTTGACTTGCCTCCTTCCCACTAATGTCAATGTAACTAGGAGCCAGTGCATGGTGCAGAAGTCTCCCACGTGCCACTCTCACCCTGTGGAGGAGTGTGCCACTCTACGAGAACACTGGCAGTGCCCACCTAATGCCACCACTCTACCTGCTACTCTAGCCTGGGAGGAAGGAGACTGGTAGCTGGATGTCAGCCTCTCTGTCACTGCAGGATTTGATGACCCTGTTGTGGGGTGTGCACATAGAACTACTTCTTCTTTTTCTGGATCTAACACCATCAGCAACAATGTAAAACCACAGAACACCCAGCAACAGGTAGTGTCCCATGATGTTATCTTAGGGAGGTTCTCAAAACTGTCTTAAACCTGAGTGCCTCCTTCAGCATTTTTGAAAAAACAGTCACATGTTCTCTACATTTAGAAGGCCTCTTCCAGTTGGCAAAGTGCTTTATTTGATAACATCGCATTTAGCCTCAGTAAAGCAATAATGGGTTGGTTATTTTTTTCAAAACGAAGGATGAATAAGCTCAGAGAGATTCAGTGACTTACTGAAGGTTACACAGTAAATAATAGACTATTTTACTTTATGTCTAGAGTCTTCCACAGTATGAAATAGATTGTGGATACTGCAACAAGTAACATTTTTGGAGACAGCTGTAACTTCTTTACCAGGAATAACCTTTGCATGTCACATTTAGAGACAAAATTCAAAATGCAAATTTTCTCCTGACAGTGGGAAAGCATTAACAAGTGGGCACCACAGGGCTTTACATATTCAAAATATTAAGCTAATTCTAGGATCATAGACTTGATGTAAGGCATGGTAGTTAATAGGAAAGTTCTAGATTGAAAACAATTTTGCACAAATGTACGTGTGTGTGTGTGTGTGTGTATGTTTGTGTGTTTATTTGGAAAACATATTGCTTTAGGTGTTTTTGCCATTTCTTAGATACCAATTTTATATTCTGTGCTCACAGCATTTGGCATCCAATCTCTATGCATAAAGCCACCATAATGCTTTAAATTACTTTACATTTCATTTTTAGTCAATTGAAATAATAAACTAAGACAGTTTTGCTAATGAAGTACTTTCATGAGCAAAAATTAGAGATTTTTTGAACATGAGTCTAGAAATAGTTCAGTTTTCATATTTAGTGTCTGAATCTAAGTTTGTCACATGAAGCACAAAATCTGCTTTTTAAAAAATCAATTATAAATACTTTAAACTTTAAGTTCTGGGATACATGTGCAGAACGTGCAGGTTTGTTACATAGGTATACACATGCCATGTGGTTTGCTGCACCCATCAATCCATCATCTACATTAGGTATTTCTCCTAATGGTATCCCTCCCTTAGCCCCTTACCTCATGACAGGCCCTGGTGTGTGATGTTTCTCTCCCTGTGTCTATGTGTTCAACTCTCACTTGTGAGCAAAAACATGTAGTGTTTGGTTTTCTGTTTCTGTGTCATTTATTGAGAATGATGATTTCCAGCTTCATCCATGTCCCTGCAAAGGACATGAATTCATCCATTTGATGGCTGCATAGTATTCCATGGTGTATATATGCCACATTCACTTTATCCAGTCTATCACTGATGGGCATTTGGGTTGGTTCCAAGTCTTTGCTATTGTGAACAGTGCCGCAATAAACATACATACATATGCATGTGTCTTTTTAGTAGAATGATTTATAATCCTTTGGTTATATACCCAGTAATGGGATTGCTGGGTCAAATGGTATTTCTCGTTCTAGATCCTCGAGGAATCACCACACTATCTTCCACAATGGTTGAACTAATTTACATTCCTACCACCAGTGTAAAAGTGTTCCTATTTCTCCACAGCCTCACCAGCACCTGTTGTTTCCTGACTTTTCACTGTAAACAAATAGCATAAAAGCAATAAAAACATTTCCCTTCACTGTATTAAAATGTGTGACATTTTATTTGAGTTACTAAGAAATATCCTGGATTTAGAACTTCTGGATCTTCTTCACTTATAAAGCTGAGTCTATTCTTTACTATATTGTAGTTTTTACTTTAGGGCTTTGGTACATTTTATTTAATAAAAAGGGAAAATGCCAACAGTGAAAATAGAATAGAAGATTTCAAGCACAAGAGCATAGCATGGTTATGTTCAGGGCAAGTGAAGGGTCCCCTTCATTGGGATTCAATGACTGAAAATTATGAAGATATCAAAAGTGCAAGAAGCCATAGGAAATATTTTTCCTCAATGGCAAAGATGACGCAAGTAGAATGGTTAAGAAGAAAGGCTTATGGGCTTTAATTCCCCAGCTGATGTTCAACGCTTTATTTAGTTCTCATCTGGATTTTAAACTTTTGCTTGAAAAACAATTTCATATCAATTTCCATTTCTTTGGAAAGCTCCCATATGTAATTTGTTGATAACATCTCTGAAAAGCAGATTTAATGATATTGCCCAGCTGCTGCTCCAGATCCTATAGGGTAGAGGAGGCCACAAGGGTCTAAGACATCTGTATTGTCTCAGAATGTCAGGACGGTACGGATGCTGCAATAGGAAAGAAGAGACATTGTGTTAACATTTAGACAACCCACATGCTTTCATGTGAGAGTCCAAGGAGCATTTGAGGTGACTTAGTGAAAATCCATCTGTGTTTCCAGCCGTGCTATTCCTATCCCTATGCATTTGGAGCAAGTCAAGTAAAACACAAGTTCATGTTTTTTGGTTTTCTCTTGTGTTTTCTTCAACTTTAAGCTCACTCATAACATTCTGAGTATGCCTGTCGTTTAGATTTTAATTCTACATTAGCATCTTCAAAAAATCATTTTTGAGTGTCCATGTTCCTGGTATGATAAAGAATATAAAACAACAACAGATAATAACATGCAGTAAGTTCTTATTTGTCACATACTTCAAGCATTTTTTTCACTTAAATCTCAACCTAAACAATGACACTAAAAGTGGGTTTTCACATTATTTCTCTTTTAGAGATTATAAAAACTGATACTTAGAAAGATTTGTAACTTGCTCTGGTCACACATCTGGTATAGAGTGTTGGGATTCAAACCCAAATATAAATATGCACAAACTATAAGATGATAGGTAACTTGCCTGAAAGGACTGATAACTTAAAAGTTAGGACCATGCTGGAAGTTTAATAGACCTTTGATACAGAGATGTTTAAGGATTCTTAGAAGTAGAGAATCAAGTTGATTTGTATTAATTCTAGAGTACTTCATTCTTGTGAAGATTAGAAATATAACATTTACACTAGAACTAGTGCCCTTTCTATAAACCAACTTTTGATGAATACTTTAAAGAAAAGATGGTCTTTGCGAATCTGAGAATTTTATATGTGTGTGTGTGTGTGTGTGTGTGTGTGTGTATACAAATATAAGAAAAATATATGTACATAATTTAGAGAATACAGCACAGAAGAAGCAGGTAAAAATATCTGTGATCTTACAACTTCAGAGTAATCATGATCAATGATTTCTTGAATTCTATCAACTTTTTTCTAGACACAGATACATTTTTTACTATCCTTTTTGAAAATTTGGGATCATCTTGTAAATGCAATTTATATGTTTTATTTTGTGAGTCTAAAATTAAATTATGAGAATTTGCCAATAAATTCATTTTTTTCATTTCTAATGGTTGGAATTTATTCAATCATATTCTTAATGTTGGACTTTTCAAATGTTTCTAAATATTGCTATTACAGATAACAAGTAAACATGCTTAAACATATATGTATGTTTCAGATGATTATTTCTATAGATTTCTAGAAATGGTATTGCTGGGACAAAGGATCCAGTTTTTTTTTTTTTTTTTGGAGGTTTCTGGCACAAATCACCAAATTGCTTCCCTAAAAGGATGTATCAATTACTATTGGTGCCCTAGTCACCTTATTCTTACCAATATTAATTATTACAATTTTTAATCTTTGCTTATTGATAGAATTTATTTTATTTAAACATGCATATTACTATATGACATTCTTATAAAGTGAATTAGGCATGCTTAATGACTTCTTTTGTTGCTCAACACTGTCCTCTGGTTTCGGTCATCTATGTTTGCCATCACCTTATCAGTTCTATGATGATGATGAGTCAATGACAATAATGATGAAAATGATAACTAACCTTTGATGATGACTGTTTTCCATATATATGTGTATATATATGTACTCTTGAGGGGCGGTGTGGTTTAATAGAAAGTGAATAGATTTGCTAGCAATGAGATCTGCCTTTGAATTTTGGCTCCCCTTCCTGTCACCTGATGATTTTGACCAAGTCATGTCTTCTTTGCTTTTTGGTTTTCTCCTCTCTAAGATAGTGAGATTGAGACTGACACTGAGCATTGCCTGGGAATCACATGAGTCAATGCATGTAAGACACTTAGCGGAACAGCTGGTGCTCTGTCAGTGCTAGTTTCTTTCCATCCTCGAGAATATATATTGGATAAAATATCTAGTATAATAGTTTTGTGAGTGCCAAAGAAACACTATTTAAAATTGAAAACGTCATGAAATTAAGTGTGGGATAGCAGAAACATCTCAGACTTTGGAGCTAGAACATCTGAGACTTTGGAGCTAGCAGAGGTTAGATATAACAGCCTGCTTCCAGTTATGGTTCACATAAATGCCAGTAACACAGTTCATTATATTAGGTGATTGTTAAGAGTAAGTGTTAGAGGTAGTGAAGGAATGTGTTCTCTTTCCAGGTCCACAAGGGAACATAGTTTTAGGGGCAAGAACTTCCCAGTGCCATGCCCTCCTCCCATCTCTCTCCACCCGGGAGATATAATGGTCTCTCTTTTAATTTTCTCAGGCACGGGAAGAATCAAAAAGTCAATCACTCCAGTGGAAGTTCTTAGGAACTCCTTTCATTGACCAGAGGTCTTGAAGAAGGTGGGAGTTCCTCCCAGGTTAAAAGTCCCCTTGTTCCACACCCCTTTGGATTCTATGTTTGAATCCCCTTCCACAAACTCTCTCGTGGAAGCTGTCTTTCTCTCTCCTGGATTTTCCCTCTGGAGTCTCCTTCCACACATTTTCTCTCTCTCTCATGTGGAAGTTTTCTCTTCTTTTTTTTTCTTTCTCCATCTAAAATAAATTCACTTTCTGCAAAAACTCTGTTTGGGGTCCGGTATTTACTTTGTGAGTGCACCTGGCCCCCTCTCTCATTCTTGAGCAAGCAGGAGACCAAGAACCTTGGAGAAACGTCCTCTCAGGGGAGCTGAGGGCACCCTTGAACCCCAACATTTTGGAGAGCCAGCCAGAAGGGGGATACAGCCAAGAAAGGGGTACAGCCAGAGAAGAAAACTTCTAACTGTAAGTGAAACAACCCCATTCTGTCCTGTTTCTTTAAGAACATCTGAAGTGGCCTCAGCCAGGCAGGGCTGCGGGGAACTGGAGCAGCAGCGTCCAGCTTTGGGGGCACAGCCCAGCCTGCCTTAAGCAGTGTGGCCCAGCCAGAATTAAAAGCTCAGTTTTTTTCCTCCAAGCTCTCTCTCTCTGCTTTCCCTCTCTTGGCTTTCTTTCTCTGTCTCTCTTTTCCTCTCCTTCTTGGCTGTTTCTCTGGGCAAAAGCCTGTGGGAGAAGGGACAGGCAAATGCTATGTGCAGTTACCCGGGGTAGACCCGGGCACGTGCGGGTGCAGCGGGGCGTTTGGCTCCCGTGCAGGGAGGAGCAGGGGAGCACCTCCCCTAGGCCTTTTGCTCATTGTCGGCTGGGAACAGCTCAGCACCGGGGGCAAGCCCAAGTGTGTGCAGCAAGCTGCAGCCACCAGCACTGCTGGCCAAGAGAAAAGCAACGGGGAAGGGACTCAGTGTGTCCTGGCCAGGCACAGAGGCTCTAAATGCTATAACTTCCCTGAACACTCCTGCCACCCGTGCTAAGCAGAGGGGCTGCACTTGAAAAAGCAAAGCTGGGAAGTGCTTTTGCTGGCTGCTCTTGGTCCTGAAGGCAGGGCCTGCATGAAACTGCGGAACCAGGCTGTTAAAAACTGCAGTCAGGGATGGAACAAGGGAACTTCCCCTGGGGCATTCGCCTGCCAGCCACGGGTCCCTGTGTGGGCCACGGTCCAGGGTGCGCGCATGGTCCTGGCATCACGGCAGAACAAAACAAGGGGCAGGTCTTCCCCTCCAGCACACAGCAGGGTGGTGCAGAGGCCTGGCTTTTAAACTGACAGAGGCAAGCTACTTTTTTTTTCTCTCCCTACTGAGAGAAGGGAAATGGCTGCTGGCTGTCAGCTTCACCTGGGACACCACCTCAGGGTGCAGCATTCTAATTCAAAATGTGGCTTAAGAAAGCTTTCTGCCTTCCCCTAATGCAAGTGGCCTGTTAGCACAGTTGGTTAAGGTGTAGGGCTGGCAAGTGTGAGTTTGCTGGTTCAAATCCCTGGTGAAGACAGTCTTGAGTTAGGAAAACCTCTTGGGAAATTTAGAAACTAAAGGCTTTGGGACTTTGTGTTTTGTGTGTAATTTGTCCTGCCTAGGATTTGCTCTTTTTCTACAGCAGAACTTTTCCATCCAGAAGATCATAGTTAAGCCAGTTCCAGGGCCCAAATAAGGCAAGTCTCACAACCTTAAGGGCATTTTCCTACAATGAAAGATGGGTTAGGGAAGAGGAGGCCCAGGTCCTGAGGGTATTGTTCCATCCTCAGCCACACCTGACCTGCCTTCTTTGAACTGTGTGCTCTAATGGCCTCTCCCAAGAAGTTCACCCTTCTAGGGCAGTTTTATAAGTTGGCCTGTGTAAATTGGACTTTTGCTGGGGAATGTTGGTACCCATCTCCTGAGCATCACTGGCCTCGTCAAGGGCTCATTGGTATGTGACTACCCACCTGAATAGCCCCTGTCATTCTATGCCTCTATGGTAGTCACTGGAGGTCCTGCAGACAGTGAGCATGAGTCCTATGATGCTGGTAGGTCATGATTCGAATCCACTACATAGGAGGCCCTCTGATAAGATGGATCACACATCTTGGGCACATGAAATTTCAGGGTACTGACTGAAAGATGTTTCATTTCAGTACCCATTTTACCTAAGGGATGCCTTAGGTCGAAGTGGCTGTAATTTCTTTAACCAGGGGTACGGTCATCCCTTGTGTTCGATTTCAGATGGATGCTTCTATTCCCAAGCTCAAGTCCCCATTACAGTGTATACTGGAAAATTGGGACCAATTTAGCATGCAATCTTTGAGGAAGAAGCAGCTCATTTTTCTCTGCCAAACAGCGTGGCCAAATTAACCTCTGCCAAGTGGAAAACCTAGCCCCCAAAGGGAAGGGAAGAAAACCCAACAGCTTTCCTTGAGCAACTGTGGGAGGCTTTAAGAAATTATACTCCTCTGTCACCAGACTCCATTGAAGGTCAGTTAATACTAAAGGACAAGTTTATTACTCAATCAGCAGCAGATATCAGGAGGAAGCTTCAAAAGCTGGCCTTGGGGCCAGAGCAGAGTCTAAAATCATTACTGAATCAGGTAACCTTGGTGTTTTATAATAGAGACCAGGAAGGACAGGCTGAAAGGAACAGGAGAAATCAGAGAAAGGTTGCTGCCTTAGTCATGGCTTTCAGGCAAGCAGACCCCAGGGGCTCAAATGAGGGAAAGGTTAGGGTTAGCTGCCAGTCTGGCAGAGCTTGTTACCAGTGCAGTCTGAAGGGACATTTTATAAGAAATTGCCCTCAGAGGAATGGACCACCATCCCATCCACACCCATTGTGCCAAGGGAATCACTGTCCCAGGGGACGAAGGTTCTCAGGGCCTGAGTGTCTGACCAGATGATCCAATGGCAGGACTGAGGATGCCTGGAGCAAGTGCCAGCATGAGCCATCACCCTTACAGAGACCCAAGTAAAGCTGACCATAGAGGTCCAGGAAGTTCATCTTCTCCTGGACACTCGCATGGCCTTCTCAATATTTCTCTCCTGCCCTGGAGACTTGGTGCTTGTTAATTCTCTTCCCTCAGATTCTCCCTCTCCAGGCCCATCCTGGGAAGGACCATTTTTGGTCATTCTGTCTACCCCAATGGCAGTTAAGGTGGTAGGAATTGACTCATGGATTCATCACACTTGGCTGAAGCTTTGGACACCTCCTGAAAAGTCATAGACCCTCCACTCTGCAGCCTGAAGTTCCAGGAGACAACCCTTCATACACCAGTGAGCCATTAGAAGATCTACATCTGCTTTTCCAACAAGATACTCAGGAAAGTAACCATGCAGAAGTTTAATTTATATCCTGGCATTAACAGAACTATAACCCTCAACTTTACTATCTCTCAAACTCTGATTATCCTTTTCATAGTCTTTTTCTAGGAAAACACTGCTATTTTGTAAACCAGTCAAGTATTGTTTTGAACGCAGAACTCAGGAATCAATCAAACACAGGGCTAAAAATTTTCAAGAAACATTACTGTGAAGCTTGTTTAACAACTGACTGTCCTGGCTCTATTCTCTCCTAGGCTTGTTTATAACCATTCTACATTTGTTGGCCTCTGGGCCTCTTGTCTTTAACCACCTTGTCACATTCATTTCTTATATAACCGTAAGGTCACAAGTAATCCTGCCACTGGAACCCCAGATGTCCTTGGCTTGTGGGCTCTATCATAGACCTCAGGATCAATCTGCACCCCTAAAAGGATCCCCTCTGGGGGAAACCTCAGTTTCAGGGCCTCTTCTATGCCCCATTTCAGCAGGAAGTAGTTAAAGAGAGATTGACACCCCTGTTCCAATAGAAGTTAAACTTTCCTGTTCAGAGTGGGGAATGAGGGAATGTGTTGTCTTTCCGGGTCCACAAAGGGGCATAGTTTTAAGGGCAAGAACTTCCCAGCGCCATGCCCCCCTCTCATCTCTCTCCATCTGGGAGATTTAACGGTCTCCCTTTTAATTTTCGTGGGCACAGGAAGAATAAAAAAGTCAATCATTCCAGCGAAAGTTCTTAGGAACTCCTTTCGTTGGCCAGAGGTCTTGGAAAAGGTGGGGGTTCCTCCCAGGTTAAAAGTCCCCTTGTTTCACACCCCTTTGCAGTCCATGTTTGAATCCTCTTCCACGAACTCTCTTGTGGAAGTTGTCTTTCTCTTTCCTGGATTTTCTTTCTGGAATCCCTTTCCACACATACTCTCTCTCTCGTGTGGAAGTTTTCTCTCTTCTTCTCCATTTTTCCCCTTTCTCTATCTAAAATAAATTTGCTTTCTGCAAAAACTCTGTTTGGGGTCTGGTATGTACTTCGTGAGTGCACCTGGTACCCGCTCTCATTCTTTAGCAAGCAGGAGACCAAGAACCTTGGAGAAACATCCTCTCAGGGGAGCTGAGGGCACCCCTGAACCCCTGAACCCCAACAGTAGGAAATAGAATTGGCTTATTTTTCTAAGGCTTAGAGATAATGTAAGATAAACATTTATAATAGGGTTTAGTACCTGTCTTTTACCACAACTTTTCTTTGTACATTTTTTATAAACTACAATAAAAAGAAAAAGGAAAATCTAGTAATACCTACTTAGAAAACAATCCAAATGTAGTCTCACCTACTCCCATAATGAAAATACTAAAGTAGTCCTGAAAATAATTAGATGTCACCCTTATCTGGATGACAGGCAGAGGTGTAAATGATTCCACGTTATAATTATGGTTCTTCAACTAAACTTTTTTTTAAGGGGGTAGGTGCCAAAGTGAGTGTTCTCTTTTAAATAAGGCTGAGTGACTCTAATCATTCGGATTTGCTGTAATCAACATAATTTGGCTTCAGCAGAATAGAAAATGCAAAACAACTGTATTTTAGCTTCTCACAGTATGATCTTACCTGTGCTCCATGCAAAGACTGAACTGGTAATGGAAAACCAAGTTACTCTAATTTTTCTCATCCTTCCACCCTTTCATCTCTGCTAGACAACCCCCTACTGTAGAATACAAAGCCAAACAAAAAAACAACTTAAAATCTACCTCTTTCCAGAGCGAAGCAGGTCAAATCCTTCATTTATTTTTTCAAAAGGTAAAACATTGGTTATTAATGCATCTAGGGAAAACTTCTTAGCCATAAAACCAGCCACAAGTTTGGGGACAGATTCTTTACTCTTAAAGCCTGAAAAGAAGACAATATCATTGTTAGAGTCAACCAAGGTAAGTGGGAGAATTGAAGAGAAGATTTTTCAAATAAATGAAAGTTTAGAAAAGGTGCTGCATTCCAGACTGCTGTAACCGAGGCTAATAAGAGATAGAGTACTTCAGTATGCTTTTACCATGCTTTGACTTAAGAAAAATCACAGATACACAAGGGTCCTTAGTTATTCTCTCTCACATAGAGAAATTATAGTACAGATGTTATGCCCAAAGTTAAGGAGCAAATTCATCAGTTTTCTAGATTTGCATGTAGATGATTTATTGTTATAGATTTCCATGGCCTACTAGAAATTTCTTTGCCTTATGCAGTCACAAGTACAAAAAGAGGTGGATATGAAAGATTCTGGTTAATAGTGACATCAGAAAAGTCTATCTTGGGGTTGTGCATGGTGGCTCATGCCTGTAATCACAGCATATTGGGAGGCCGAGGCAGGCAGATTGTTTAAGGCCAAGAGTTCGAGATCAACTTGGCCAACATGGTGAAACCTCATCTCTACCAAAAAAAATTAGCTGGGCACTGTGGTGCACATCTGTAATCCCAGCTACTTGTGAGGCTGAAACAGAAGAATCACTTGAACCTGGAAGGTGGAGGTTGCAGTGAGCCAGGATTGTGCCACTGCACTCCAGCTTGGGCAACAGAGTGAGACTTGGTCTCCAAAAAAAAAAAAAAAAAAAAAGTTCTACATTAGTTCCACGTCAGATTGATTTGGAGACTATAGATAAAAAAGAAATTTTAATATATTTTTGATTTTGTTGCTTTTCAAAACCTTGTCTTGTCACTCATAAAAGGGAAGAAATTCTGAGGTTAATGAGAATTTGGCTCTGAAGCCTAACTACATACCTCCAAAAATAGCTCCTTTCCAGGTGCGTCCAGTCAGCAGCAGCATAGGGTTCATTGAGAGGTTTTGGGCATCAGGAGGTACCCCTACAACGACACTTGTGCCACATGCCTCATGACAACATAACAGGGAAGCCATCTGCAATACAGTGAATGTTTAGCATCCTTAATTTGGAGTGGTATAGTTCCTACTCACAATGCACAATATCATGTAATAGGGCTTAACTGGATTTTGAGTGTGTAGAGGAAAGAGATCATGTCTTTTGCTCCTTCATTCCCCTCCCCCCCCTTTTTTTTTTTTTTTGAGATGGAATTTCGCTCTCGTTACCCAGGCTGGAGTGCAATGGCGCGATCTCGGCTCACTGCAGCCTCCACCTCCTGGGTTCAGGCAATTCTCCTGCCCCAGCCTCCTGAGTAGCTGGGATTACAGGCACGCGCCACCATGCCTAGCCAATTTTTGTCTTTTTAGTAGAGACGGGGTTTCACCATGTTGACCAGGATGGTCTCGATCTCTTGACCTCGTGATCCACCCGCCTCGGCCTCCCAAAGTGCTGGGATTACAGGCGTGAGCCACCGCGCCCGGCCCCCCCCTTTTTTATGCATAGGATATTCCTGTCGATTCAGGAAATGCCCAGAAAATGGTTTTTGAATGAAAGAATGGATGGATAAATTGATGTGCACTTAGTTCTTCCTAAAAAAGGAATAAAGAGGCAAACATCATTACAAACATACATAAAGTCTGGTTCCTTACACAAGCATACATAATTTTTAGGCAATCTATGAATTAGTTAATTCATTTTTCATTGATTTATTAAGTAGGTATTTTGAACCCAATATTTTTTTATTTGTTTTGAGACAGAGTCTCACTCTGTCACCCAGGCTGGATTGCAGTGGCGTGATCTCAGCTCACTGCAACCTCCTCCTCCCAGGTTCAAGTGATTCTCTTGCCTCAGCCTCTTGAGTAGCTGGGATTACAGGCACACACCACCATGCCCGGCTACTTTTTGTATTTTTAGTAGAAACAGAATTTCACCATGTTGGTCAGGCTGGTCTCAAACTCCTGACCTCAGGTCGTCTGCCCACCTCTGCCTCCCAAAGTGCTGGGATTACAGGTGTGAACCATCGTGCCCAGCCTTAACCCAGTTCTTTCAATCAGATATGTTGATGGTGAACAAGATAAGCATTCACCAAAATTTGTCTCTTGTCCACTTGATAGTCTCCCTTTTTTTAACATATTCCTGTTCTACTGTCCATTTCTCAAATGAACATGTTTTAAACATTGTTTTTACCTCCCCAAATGTATACCAGTTTTACATGAAATTACATTGGTTATTTGGGAATCTCAAAAGACAGCTCATAAAGTCTTTTCTAGTCATCTTTTAAACATGTTCTGTAGTTAGAAAGTGGTTTAGAATCCCCCCAAGGCATGTAATGATTAGTTTTTTGATTTTGGATTCTGACTTTTGCAAGCCCAGACATCCTCAAAACATGTGCCTGTCAGACATTTGGTGTCTTGAGATGAGATACATTCCAGATCCACCTGAAAAAATGAATGAAAATATAGAAAACGTGCATAAGGAGAAAAGCTATAACCCTGGAAAAAGTTGGATTCTCCTCACTCTTTATTCCTCGGTGGCATTTGTCCCAGGTCAAGGCTGCTGAGAGCTTTGATCTCAGGGTGCTTCTCCCCATTACCCACACTGTTGGACCTTCTAGAAAATCTCAGCAATGGAAACTTGTTGGTCTCTGGAGACTTTTTCATCCATCTAGAATCCTAGATGTAGGATTCTAGAGAATTCTGGGTAGGTGAAATATAGCTAAAGATGTGTTTCCTGTTGCAATTGTATTTTGTAACTGTTTGAAAGTAACACCATGTAATAAGCCCAAGATGACGTAAGAACTGAAAGACTGGAAATAGTATTTCATATCAATAATGCCAGCTGAGGCTGGGCATGTTGCTCATGTCTGTACTCAGTATTTTTGGAGGGTGAGGTAGGAGAATAGCTTGAGCCCAGGCGGTTGAGGCTGCAGTGAGCTATAAACACTGTGCTCCAGCCTGGGTGACACAGTTAGACCCTGTCTCAAAAAAAAAAAAAAAAAAGGCAGCTGACATTTATTTGGAGCTTAACACATGAAACATGACAGGTTGTACTGCGTGAGGTATTTTGTATGCATTGTCTCATGTATTTCATAAACAATGCCAGGAGATATGTAGCTCTTAACTTTTGTGGGTGGTAAAATCTGTTGACTTTTTAAAGGCCTCTGTCCAAGTAGTATTGGGTGCTAGCTATGTGCCAGCACTGTCCAGTTTCTGTGATAAAATATAATGGTGCATTAAAGCAGTCACTTTCCTTATGGCATATCCTCTTTAATTAAAATAGCAGTTGGTCTAAAATTGCGCATTACTTTTGACTGAAAAATAGTATGTAAAAAAGTTTGGAATTTATTAGTAACATACACAAATTATTAAAATATTTTTGTTAAGAATGTAGAAGAAAAATAAAACTTTTTAATTTGAGAAATGAATTTGTATTATTTATATTTACTTAAGTTTGCCTTTTTAACTAAAAAATAATAAAGTATATCTGTAGTGGCTCTGTGAAGAAAAACAAGTCCTTTTTCTTTTCTCAAGAGAAAATATGACTTAAGACGTTTGCTTAGCTGATTGAATGGAAGATTTCTCATAACAATAAATTAAATAAGCCAGGTAACAAACAGATGATGGGAAATTTCCATTCATCACTAAAAATAGCATCTATAAATAGTACATATATTCTGCTGCCTAAATGCATCCTCCATGTTGCAGAAGCAGAAATCTCAGGGCACGTTATGGTACATACCATGGTGTCAAGCCGACCGATTACTTCAAATGAAAAATCCACACCTCCATCAGTCATTTCCTTTAGCACCTCCTGGATGGGTTTCTTGTAGTCTTGAGGGTTGATGCATTCAGTGGCACCCAACTCTTTGGCCTTTGCAAATTTGTCCTTGTTGATGTCCACTGCAATGATCCTGGCCGCTCCGGCTGCTTTACATCCCATAACAACAGATAGGCCGACCCCTCCCAGACCAAACACAGCACAGGTAGAGCCTGGGGTGACCTGCGTTTTCAGAAAATGCAAAAATGGATTAAGTAATGATTGTTAGAAATTGCTTAAGCTTTATAAAGTGATATGCCTTGGTGTTTATCAAGAGCTACTCAGACTCTTCTGTCCAACCTGTTATCGAAACCTCTTTCGACTTGAGATGCTTCATGTTTAAATTCAAAACGTTACACTAGTTGAATGGTTCACAAATTGCTGCATATTAGATTCACCTGGGAAGCTTTAAAAACTATCCCATTGTCAAAGTCACAACCCATGCCAATTAAATCAGAATCTCTGCAGGTGGAACTCTGTCACCAGGTGACTCCAGTGGGAAGGTTAAGCTGGGAGCCAGGGGACTGGATGATCTTTGAGATCTAGATGGCAGTGATTATAATATTGAAGGGACTCTCAATTGCTGAAATCCATGATAGCTTCAGTATCTCATATATGCACAAAGGCAATATTTAGAAAATAAGTGGAAAGAGATCCTGCAGGGAAATGAAAAATATTCCACTTAAACCCTCAATAATTAACTCCTCTGTTCATTTATGTTCAGTGGTCATGACCAGTGTATCCCTGATTTAAAAAATACACTAGTGAACAACATATCAATGAAACATTAGTCTATATTTTAATAATAAAATCTATTGTTATGAGTATCCTCAGCTTCTGTTTATGCGTAGGCTCACTTAGACCACCTGTTAAAACAGATGAGGCAATTGAACAAAGGGAGTAAGTGCTAAAGTCACCAAAATTTGGAAAAGCTTCTCTCTAATTGGTTTAAATTGCCTAGGGGTTATTTATTAAACCTAGTGTCCCATAGTCAGCCTTCATTGTGGGTAACATGCTCTTCCTGTTCTAAATAATCTCATTCTTATGTTCCCTTAAGGGTGTCTATTCATTTATTTATTCATTCATTCATTCACCAAGTATTATTCAATACTGTGGAGGACAACACCACTTTCTACCTTAGTTAGAAAAATACAAGACTTGTGACTGTGATTTAAAAGTGCTAATGATTATGGACTGTGATTTAAGTTTCAGCAGGAGATTTGAGAAAGACATTTTAGCCTCACCTCTCATATTAAGCAGCAGTGAGATTTTGGGCAGATATCTTTTTATCTCTGAACCTCAGTTTCATAAAATAATGCATACTACTAGATTTTTCAGCCTACTCAGATGAGGAGACTTTAAAGAATTTCTGCTTGAAATTTACCACGTCTGATGTATATGTGTGTGTTCATGGCAGGGAAGATAGTTTTAGCAGTGAGATGGCATAATGATGAATTACACATCCCTGAAGCTTCATTATTTTCTTCTAAGAATCCACAGAGTGGGTGAGCCTTGGTTGGAGGTACATCAGGTAAGACTTTGGACTCTACTGTTGATCCTAATTCTGGGAGGAGAGGATCCACAGACTAAATGCTCCTCAAGAGCAATCGGTTCATTTCATTAACTTTTGCTGTCAGAGCCCAGCAGAACCTACAGTGCCTGAGGCATGTGTAGCTGTTAATGGTTGTATGAATTACTACATGATTTAGTTTTCAGACCTAAAATTTCATGATCCCATAAACAGCAAATTCAGAAGAAAAATTATTGAAAATGACATCCTTATATTTTCTTAATTCAACGTTTTATCTGTGATAAACAGGTGAAATTTCTAGCATGTGCTCTCAATTCTTTCTGGGCCATTTTTCTACTCTTAATCAACACTCCAAATCTCTAAAAATAATCTTTGATTCTTGTGAGAAAGTGCTTCCTTTTTGGTTCCTGACAGTCTGCTTGTAACCGGTTTTATCACCCATTATCATTCTTACCTTGGCAACTTTGACTGCAGACCCATAACCAGTTGAAAATCCACAGCCAATGAGGCAGACTTTCTCCAGGGGCGAGGCTGCATCAATTTTGGCCACTGCACTCTCATCCACCACCGTGTACTGGGAGAAGGTGCTGACACCGAGGAAGTGGTGGATGGGCTTCCCTTTGCAGGTGAATCTACTGGTGCCATCCTGCAGGGTCCCCCGAGGATTGCTGAGACTGGGCAGTGCAATACACAGACACACACACAGGCATGAGACAGGAACATAACTAATGTGCAAACTCAAAGTCTGTGCAAACAGAGCATCAGAAACCTACTCGTTTTTCAAGCAGTAGTTGCTTTCCGGGTTTTTACAAATTCTGCATTTTCCGCACTGAGGAGTAAACAGCGGGATGACTTTATCACCTGGAGAGGAATAAATCAAATTCTTTTACAATATCTATCAATAAATTAATAGAGCAAAAACTTAAAGCTTACATGTATAGATTAGAATCATGTGTCTGAAAAGTCTCCATGAAATATATCCAATCACAACTATGTCATTTGTCACTGCCTGCCAAGGCATTGTTTTTTAGTTTGGGTTTATAAGTGCCTGAAGATTTCTAAATAGAAAATGCAAATGTGGAAAACAACATGGATTAAAAAAATTACTTCTACTGTATTAACAAACTTTTACTGAGAGCACTAATTTCTCCTAGAGGCTTTGCAAATATAATTTCTGTAATCCTCAGCTAATTAAATCTTAATTAAATATTCTTCCTATAAGTATAATTATAAATTTTAGTTGAAAGTAGTCTATTATATTTCCAGTAGATGTCGGGAAGATGTGGAATTTTGGAACAAGTCTTGCCTTTTGAAAGTGACTATGCTTATCTTTATTATAAAATGAATGGTTTCAAAAAAAGATCTCAGTTCTTTTTTGAGGAAAACTAACAAAAATAGGACAAAAAGGAATTACAGAAATTCATCTGAAAATCTCAACTCTCCAAAATAAGGCACTTTCTTTTAGGATAAGAATTGACTTTCAAATGTTTTTAGCTGATAATTTAAAAATGATCTATTTATGCTCTCATGCTGGAGAAAGGAGGTGTGAAAAATAAGGTTTTCATTTTGTTATTAATTTATTTCTAAGTAAAGAAAATAGTAAGAGCTAAAGCTCAAATTGGACAGTTTATTTTATTATTTTCTGTTCATAGTCTAAATTAGTATTTGGCAAGGGGCAGGTAGAATCCACTGACTAAAGTGATGCTTTAGAGTTAAAGGTAATTTTTATTTTTAATCACCTATGTTATCTGTTTCATAAGACCAAGAAAAATGATTGGTGCATAACATTCTATAGGCAAAGTTTGTGTAACAATGATGGTATGAAAATATCCTAGTTATTCATCCTTTACCTCTAAAAATGTTTGTATTAACACATAATAAGATTAGGCTAAAATAAATATTGAAGATAAAATAATTAGTAATCTGTAACTAATTGCATTTAAGGATGGCTAAAAGTAATAAGGAAGACATTGTTGATGGTGGATAGCTCCTGCTGTTTCTTTCATTTCCTTTCACCTAGACTGCTTCACTGAGTCCATTCTTGGAAAGAGAGACCATGTTGGAAGAGGAAATTTGTAAGGGGACTCCATAGGCCACCTAAGAAAAGATCATGTTTATTCAGCAATAGCCATGTAGCCTCCATTTTGTGAACTCAGCACAGAACAGTTTCCATACTTATGTCTTTTCCCTCCTCCCATTTCTAGTTGTCTGGTCCTGACAGAAGACAGTGTTCAGCAACATTAACACAGTAGTTATTAGATTATGAATTCCAGACTGGTAGGCACCGTGTCTCTTTTGATCCTCATACATCTCCAGGCTCTAAACTGTTGCCTGGCATCTAGTAGATTCTCAGTACATAATTGTTGGAGGGTAGAATACAAGCATGCCTGAAAGCACACATGCCTGAGTCAGGCAGGCACAGAGGGAAGGAGGAAACCCCTGAAGTCATGGCTGCCCTGTGACATTGTGCAAGCCTTTTCATCTCTCATTGCCTCTGTTTCCTCATCTGGGCTGAGTAATCTTGTGATGGTGAGCCAAGGTGTGTTCCCTGAGTGTGAATCCTGTACCTGGTTTGACTGTAGTCACCCCTTCTCCAACACTCTCCACGATGCCGGCTGCCTCATGGCCTAAAACCACAGGAAGTGGGGTCACCAGGGTGCCACTAACCACGTGGTCATCTGAACGACAGATTCCTACAGCCACCATCTACAGAATACAGAGAAAATGTTTAGAGAAGCATCCAAGGTGGCCAAATAGGAACAGCTCTGGGGTGCAGTTCCCAGCAAGAACAATGCAGAGAGTGAGTTCTTACTGCATTTCCAAATGAGTTTTCACTGCCCACAGACCAGGACATTCCTGGGCCAAAAAGCACCAAGAGCTTTTTGGCTCCAGCATGGCTGCTTCAGCTGGTGCTGTGGGTTGGCATAGAGAAACTCACACAAATCTGGGTGGCCATTTCAATGAGCGCCTGGAATGCCTGGGAGACAGAGCCACCCATTCAACTGAAAGGAAGGGGGCTGAGACAGGGAGCCAGGTGATCTGGTTTGGTGGGTACCACACCCACAAAACAAGCAATCTGAAATGCTCTGGATCGAGAGTTTCCCAGTAAGTGCAGCTGGACCCGGGATGGTGCAGCTCAGTGTGGGGAAGGGCATCCACCACTACCAGGGCAGTCTGCCAATACAGAGGCAGTTCTAACCACCTTAAGGAGGTTCACACAGCAGCTGGGCAGGGCCTGCAGGAGCTCAGCAATGCCTCTGCTGGCAGACTGTGACTAGACTATCTCCATGTGGGACAGGGCATCTATGAAAAAATGGAGCAGCAGTCAGGAATTTATAAATAAAGCCTGCCTTTCCTAGGACACAGCACCTGGGAAAAGAGGAGGTTATGAGTTCCACTGCAACAGACTTAAACGTACTTGCCCAGCAGCATGAAACAACAGAGCTCTGAGCACAGCACTTGAGCCCCTATAAGGGACAGACTGTCTCCTCAAGCAGCTCCCTGACTGCCATATACCCAAAGAGACACCTCATAAAGGAGAGCTCAGACTGACATTTGGCATGTACTCTTCTGGTATGAAGATAACAGAAGGAGAAACTGGCAACAACCCTTACTGTTCTGCAACCCCCGTGGGTGATCCCCAGGCAAGCAGGGTCTGGTGTGGACCTCCAGCAGTCCTGCAGCAGAGGGGCCTGACTGTTAGAAGGAAAACTAAGAAATGGAAAGAAATAGCTTTAACATCAACAAAAAGAATGTCCACTTAGAGACCCCATCTGAAGGTCACCAACTACAAAGACCACAGGTAGACAAAGCCAAGAAGATGGGAATAAACCAGTGCAAAAAGGATGAAAACACCAAAAACCAGAACACATCTCCTCCTCCAAAGGATCAGAACTCCTCACCAGCTAAGGAACAAAGCTGGAGAGAGAACGAATCTGATGAACTGATAGAAACAGGCTTCAGAAGGTGGGTAATAACAAATTTCTCAGAGCTAAAAGAACGTGTGCTAACCCAATGCAAAGAAACTAAGAAGCTTGAAAAAAATTTAGATGAAATGCTAACTAGAATAAACAGAGAAGAATATTAAGGACTTGATGGAACTGAGAAACACAGCACAAAAACTTCATGAAACATACATGAATTTCAATAGACAAATAGGCCAAGCAGAAGAAAGGATATCAGAGATTGAAGATCAACTAAATGAAATAAAACGAGAAGTCAAGATTAGAGAAAAAAGAGTGAAAAGAAATGAACAAAGCCTCCAAGAAATATGGGATTATGTGAAAAGACCTAATCTACGTTTGATAGGCGTACCTGAATGTGATGGAGAGAATGAATCCAAGCTGGAAAACACTCTTCAGGACATTATCCAGGAGAACTTCCCCAACCAAGCAAGGCAGGCCAACATTCACGTCCAGGAAATACAGAGAACACCACAAAAATATTCCTCAAGAAGAGCAACCCCAAGGCACATAATTGTCAGATTCACCAGGGTTGAAATGAAGAAAAAATTGCTAAGCACAGCCAGAGAGAAAGGTTGGGTCACTCACAAAGGGAAGCCCATCAGACTCACAACAGATCTGTTGACAGAAACCCTATAAACCAGAAGAGAGTGGGGGCCGATATCCAACATCCTTAAAGAAAAGAACTTTCAACCTAGAATTTCATATCCAGCCAAACTAAACTACATAAGTGAAGGAGAAAGAAAATTCTTTACGGACAAGCAATTGCTGAGAGATTTCATCAACACCAGGCCTGCCTTACAAGAGCTCCTGAAAGAAGCACTAAACAAGGAAAGGAACAACCAGAAGCAGCCACTCCAAAAATGTACCAAATGGTAAACACCATTGATACAATGAAGAAAATGCGTCAACTAATGGGCAAAACATCCAGCTAGCATAAAAAGAGGAAGATCAAATTCACACATAACAATATTAACCTTAAATGTAAATGGGCTAAATGCCCCAATCAAAAGACACAGACTGGCAAATTGGATAAAAAGTCAAGACCCATCAGTATGCTGTATTCAGTAAACCCATCTCAAATGCAAGGACACACATAGGCTAAAAATGAAGGGATGGAGGAAGATTTATTAAGCAAATGAAGAGCGAAAAAAAAAAGCAGGAGTTGCAATCCTAGTCTCTGATAAAATGGACTTTAAACCAACAAAGATCAAAAGAGACAAAGAAGAGCATTACATAATGGTAAAAGGATCAATGCATCAAGAAGGTCTAACAATCTTAAATATATATTCACACAATACAGGAGCACCCAGATACACAAAGCAAGTTCTTCATGACCTACGAAGAGACTTAGACTTCCACACAATAATAGTGGGAGACCTTAACACTCCACTTTCAATAGTAGACAGATCCACAAGACAGAAAATTAATAAGGATATCCAGGACTTGAACTCATACCTGGACCAAGTGGACCTAATAGACATCTACAGAAATCTCCATCACAAATCCACAGAATATACATTCTTCTCAGCACCACATTGCACCTACTCTAAAACTGACCACATAATTTGAAGTAAATCACGCCTCAGCAAATGCAAAAGAATGGAAATCATAACAAACAGTCTCTCAAACCAGAGGGCAATCAAATTAGAACTCAAGATTAAGAAGCTAACTCAGAAACACACAACTTCATGGAAACTGAACAACTGGTTCCTAAACGTTTACTGGATAAACAATTAAATGAAGGCAGAAATAAAGATGTTCTTTGAAACCAATGAGAACAAAGACACAATGTACCAGAATCTCTAGGACACATTTAAAGTAGTGTCTAGAGGGAAATTTAGCAACAAATGCCACATGAGATGTGAGGAAAGATCTAAAATCAAAACCTTATCATCAACATTGAAAAATCTAGAGGAGCAAGATTAAAAAAAGCTCAAAAGCTAGAAAAAGGCAAGAAATAACAAAGATCATAGCAGAACTGAAGGAGATAGAGACACAAAAAACCCTTCAAAAAATTAACAAATCCAGGAGCTGGTTTTTTGAAAAGATGAACAAAACAGACAGACTGCTAGCTAGATTAATAAAAAAGAAAAGGAAGAAGCATCAAATAGATGTTAAAAAAAAAAAAGAAACGATAAAGGGGACATCACCACCGATTCCACAGAAACACAAGCTACCATCAGAGATTACTACATAAACTCTATGCACATAAACCAGTAAACCTGCAAGAAATGGATAAATTTCTGGACACTTGCACCCTCCCAAGCCTAAACCATGAATAAGTTGAAACCTTGAACAGACCAATAACAAGGGCTGAATTTGAGACAGCAATTAATAGCCTACCAACAAAAAAAAGTCCAAGTCCAGACAGGTTCACAGTCAAATTCTACCAGACATACAAAGAGGAGCTGGTACCATTCCTTCTGAAACTATTCCAAACAATATAAAAAGAGGGAATCCTTATCAAATCATTCTATGAGACCAACATCATCCTGATACCAAAACCTGGTAGAGACTCAATAGAAAAGAAAACTTCAGGCCAATTTCCATGATCAACTTAGATGCAAAAATCTTCAATAGAATACTGCCAAACCGATTGCAACAGCACATCAAAAAGCTTATCCATTACCATCAAGTAGGCTTCATCCAGAGGTTGCAAGGCTGGTTCAACATACGCAAGTCTATAAACGTAATTCACCACATAAACAGAACCAAAGACAAAAAACCACATGATTATCTCAATTGATGCAGAGAAGGCGTTTGATAAAATTCAACAGCCCTTTATGCTAAAATCTCTCAATAAACTAGGTATCGAAGGACCATAGCTCAAAATAATAAAAAACCCTGGAAGAAAACCCAGGTAAAACCATTCAGGACATAGGCATAGGCAAGGACTTTATGACTAAAACACCAAAAGCATTGGCAGCAAAAGCCAAAATAGACAAATAGGGTCTAATTAAACTCCAGAGCTTCTGCACACCAAAAGAAACAATCATTAGAGTGAACCAGCAACCAACAGAATGGGAAAAAATTTTTGCAATCTACCCATCTGAGAAAGGACTTATATCCAGAATCTACAAAGAACTAAAACAGATTTACAAGAAACAAACAAACCAACCCATTCAAAAGTGGGCAAAGGATATGAACAGAGACTTTTCGAAAGAAGAAGTATATGAGGCCAAAAAATATGAGAAAATGCTCATCATCACTGGTCATTACAGAAATGCAAATCAAAACCATATTGAGCTACCATCTCACGCCAGTTAGAATGGTGATCATTAAAAAATCTGGAGACAACAGATGCTGGAGAGGATGTGGAGAAATAGGAACATTTTGCACTGTTGGTGGGAGTGTAAATTAGTTCAACCATTGTGGAAGACAGTGTGGTGATTCCTCAAGGACCTAGAAATAGAAATTCCATTTGACCCAGCCATCCCATTACTGCGTATATATCCAAAGGATTATAAATCCTTCTGTTATAATGACACATGTACATGAATGTTCACTGCAGCACTGTTTACAACAGGAAAGACTTGGGACCAACCCAAATGCCCATCAATGATAGACTGGACAGGGAAAATGTGGCACGATGGAATACTACGCAGTCATAAAAAATGATGAGTTCGTGTCCTTTGTAGGGACATGGATGAACCTGAAAACCATCATTCTCAGCAAACTGACACAAGAACAGAAAATCAAACACTGCATGTTCTCACTCATAGGCGGGTGTTGAACAATGAGAACACATGGACACAGGAAGGGGAGCATCACACACTAGGGTCTGTTGTGGGGGCCAGGGGAGGCACAGCAGGGGTATGGGGAGGTTGGGGAGGGATAACATGGGGAGAAATGCCAGACATAGGTGACAGGGAGATGGAGGCAACAAACCACATTGCCATCTATGTACCTATGCAACAATCCTGCATGATCTGCACAGGTACCCCAGAACCTAACGTACCATATATAAAAAAAAAAAGTAAAAAAAAAAAAAGAGAAGATGTTTAGATTCAGAAAAGATTATGACTGTCAGATGGACTTAACAAATTCAATTTTCTAAAATTGTTATTCTAACATGTTTTCAAGGGTTTTGCTGATAATCCCTCCAATCCCAAATATGAAATATTCTGCTTATCTCTAAAATCATTCAATCTAAATCCTTCCTCTATCTTTCTCCCTTGAATTTAACAATTTAGAATAATATGTGAAATAATTGGTCGTAAAATATTTGTCTTGCATAATATAGAAGAATGCAGAGTTAAAAGAAAAAGAAGTAGAAACTGAAAATTAATACCAAGAAAATATCTAATGCAAATTGATTTTGAGGTCTTGATATATATTCCTTTGTACAAACACATAAATTATTTTGTATTTTACTGGAATTATACCGCATGTACTGTTTTCTCACTTAAAAAAAATAACAACTTATACTTTCCTTGACAACAAATGTAATTCTATTTTCTGGATAATCACATAAAAATACCTCTTATTGGGTTTTGGATGTTTCTATTTTTAATATTATCTGAATTTTTAAAACTTTAAATACAAATGGAAAAAAATATTTCACCTTAATGCGAACTTCATGGGCCTTAGGAGGTGCCACTTCCACATCCTCAATGGAAAATGGTTTCTTTACCTCCCATAGCACAGCTGCTTTGCATTTGATTACCTAGAAAATCAAACAGAGAGATGGTGACAGTGTTTTCCCACTCTTGAAGTCAGAAATCGTGTCTTTTCATCTTTGTACATGCAACATTGAGTCCCATGTCTGGTACCTAACAAGTGTTGCATAGAAAGGAAGTCCTCTGGTTTATAAAGAGTATCTTTTTATAAAGCAGTAACATAAGGAAAGATAAACACAGTTAAGTGTAGTAAGGCACTGAGATAAAATGGAACATATTTATTTAGGCTTTTCTTTTGTTTTGTGTTTTTCACCAGAGATGTAATCCTGATATTTTCTAATGCTGTCCTGGAAGACACCTGTTCACCCACAACTATTGGCTGATACATGTTCTAACTCACCTTTATTTTGCTGACAGAGTCAGTGTATGTCTAAATAAAATACACTACTTTCTTGCTCAATTTTCTGCTTAGGCCAAAAGGATCTGACTCTACAAGAACAATTATACACTTATCTACTAAACGATACACAACCTACTTATACAAGTAGGATGATGTCTCGTTCTCTATTTGCCTATTGTCCTCTTTTAATTTTCTCTCTCCACTTCTGTGTGATACTTGTCTCCAACACCCATTTGAAATGCAGCTTTGGCAGCCTGTTTTGTTTTCTAATTTATATGTAGAGACTCCTTCCAGCTTAGATTTGAGCCAAAAATTACAGAGATTAGAGTTAGTGGTGATGGCGTGTGTGTGTGTGTGTGCGTGTGCGTGTGTGTGTGTGTGTGTGTGTACATTCAGACCACAGATACGTATTTCAAAACTGGAGAAACTGTGTATTTGAGTTCTAGCTAGTAAAGCTTATCCACAGATGTCCTTAAAAATAAAAGCTGATCACGTATTTCCACTGCGTGGCAGTGTACTGTTAAACTGTACAGTATATAAAGCATGTACAATTCACAGAGCTCTTTCTATTGAGAATCAACATAATTGCAAGTATGATAAAAATTCAATTGAAATTTCATCTCCTGCCAACTCATTTTTATTCTTCATTTGTCATATCCTTCAACTTTGCAGGATTTTCAGTGTGGTCCATGCCAAAATAAATATCAGAATACTTAAAAATAAAGTACTAATAGTAAGAGTTACTGATTATCAGCTGCCTATGATGTGACAGGTGCATTAATGGCTTATGCTGAGTGAGTTACCTGCATTATTTGTATTATTTTTATTTTTAAAATTTATTTTTAATTTCAAAAGTTTTGGGGGTGCAGGTGGCTTTTGATTACATGGATAAGCTCTTTAGTGGTGATTTCTGAGACTTCCTGCACCTGTAACCTGAGCAATGTACATTGTACCCAATGTGTGGTCTTTCATTCCTATTATATCATTCTTATGCCATTATATATTCTTATGCTTTTGCATAGAAATGCTTTGTTCACGATATCATTCTTATGTCTTTGCATCCTCATAGCTTAGCTCCCACTTATAAGTGAGACCATATGGTATTTATTTTCTACTCCTGAGTTACTTCACTTAGAATAATGACCTCCAGCTTCATCTAAGTTGCTGCAAAGGCCATTATTTTGTTCTATTATGTGGCCAAGTAGTATTCCGTGGTGTATATATATCACGTTCTCTTTATCCACTCATTGGTTGATGGGCACTTAGGTTGGTTCGATACTTTTGCAGTTGGAAATTGTGCTGTTGTGAACAACATGTATTATTTTTAAACCTAAAAAGGATGCTACCAGGACAGTATTATTGAATTATTGATCTTATTACAGCTTAAATAATTAAGGAGTAACTGACTCAGTGATTGAATAATTTTCCTGAAGTCTCAAAGCTGACTGTCCAGAGAATAAAGATCAGGCCGGGCACGACTGCTCACGCCCGTAATCGCAGCAATTTGGGAGGTCATGGAGGATGGATCACCTGAAGTCAGGAGTTTAAGAACAGCCTGACCAACATGATGAAACCTTGTCTCTACTAAAATTAGCCAGATATACTGGCATGTGCCTGTAATCCTAGCTACTTGGGAGGCTGAGGCAGGAGAATTGCTTGACCCGGGAGGTGGTGGTTGCAGTGAGCTGAGATGGCACTCCAACGAGCCTGGGCAATAGAAAGAGACTCTGTCTCCAAAAAAAAAAAAAAAAGATCAATCTAGCCTCATGTTTCCAGTACTCCATGGTAGTAAATAGCAAAATGTTAAATAGCAACAATAATAATATTTGCTAATATTTATTGACTCATTTTTATTTACCAGGTACTATTCTAAGTGCTTTTTACTATTAATTTATGAAATAGATATTAGTATTGTCACTATTTAGCATTTGAGGAAAATAAAATGCAGGATAGGTAAACATAAATGAAATGCTGTCAAAAAGCTAAGTTATTGACATTGCATCAAAGAGGGGAGGATTATTGATTTCATCAGTTATTATTTTTATTAGTATGATTGGTTTATACTTTTTCTCTATGAACTCATTATTTCTTTTAAGTCAAGTTTGGTTAATGACAAATTTAAATTTTCATTTTCCTAATTATTTTCTACGAGGAATGTAAATATTAATCAATAATGAATGGAGGTGAAATGAAGTGGTAGAAGAACAGTGGGCCACTCATGTAATTTCCAACTTTTCTTATTGAAGAGCTTGTTTTGTCACACAGCATAGAGAGAAGCCTCAGAACCTTTAAACTGAGTTATTATAGTGAGATATTTTACTGTGTGGTACACTCCTAACACAACAAATGGCTGGAAATAGTTGCACAGGTTTTTAAATTAGGCAATTAAAAATATCAATTGATTATATTGAATGAGCACATAGACTTCTGTGCACCTGTAAACACATTGAAAAAATAAGTATAATTTATGGAAGAAAAAAACAAATATCTGTGTTCTGAGTGCTAATAGGTGATTCAAATTGTATTATTATTTTTCTGTAAAATCATAGTGACTTTTATACGGGGAAGATACTGTTCCATAGGATTGCTGTGGAAATTGCCTGAATTGTGTCATAATGGGCCCCCTTTAATCAGAATTTGCATGTGGTAACTTGCTTAACCTTGATGATTCTAATGGTGTGAGAACAATGAGTGTTTTGTAAGATATTTTACAGTAAGGTTAAAAAGATATTTCAAAATCTTCTAACTCAAATTCCTCTCATAAAAGTTTTGTCATACTTACCTTTCTGGTGTTCACAAAAAATATGATTACAAATAATAACACATTTAAATTATGGCTTCTTAATATAAAGATAATTTCTGATTAAAGACTTTTCTGACTTTAGATTTACAAATCAGTCATGATTAGCTTGAAATAAATTGTCACTTTACTGCAAATTTATTTAATTTAGGAAATAAAGAATGGATACAGATTCTGTACATTCTTTTTGAAGATATTTAGGAATAGCTTATTTCCACTGTAGTTCAGTATACGTCACATATTGTAGCATATATTGCACATCATATTTCAGCATATAATTTCTAACTTAGATGTGAATTTTAAATTATTCATCAAATACTGTATTCATTTCTTTGTTCTATTGATGAGAATATATTTCCAACAGTAATATAGTTTTTGCTTACTTTTCCTGCTGTGCTCATGTTGTTTCTGTCTTCTCTGCAGATCAGGAGACGTGCCCCTGTGGATTTCTTCCCTGCTTAAGTGCATAAAGTGGGTATATTGCACAGATATTTATCTCGTTTGCCTGTATAACACCCAATTCCAATTCCACACGTGATCTAGGTTTTTAGGCCACACCCATCACATTATTCTCAGACATCAAATCATAAAGAAATGGGCACTGAACCAGCACTCAAAACCTTGACTTTTCCAATTTCAGATAAGATTTTGCTTTCATTAAGTTAAACATTAAGTTAAAGTGATAAATTTTATTCACTTTCTTTCTTCCTTACTCTCTTCCTCCTCTCTCAAATTTCTATTTCTCTTCTCTCAAATCCACAGGGGTCATTCAGAGTCCTCTTTTCCCTTTGTCTTCACTAAGCTGCAACTTTAAATCCAAGTGGTGCAGTTAGGAAGGAGGAGGAGTAAGGAAGGGATAAACGAAAGGCTTTGCAAGGCCTGAGGAAAAACACTGTAAGTGGCAAGGAGCTCAGAAGTCATATTGTTTAAATTTCTCATTTTATCGGCCAAATGACTTGGCAAAGCAATGTGGTTAATATTTATTTAAAGTATATTTGGATAGGAAAAATACAGGACTGTTTTCCTGAATGCATAAATAATCTAACATCTTTCAAACATTTTTGGGTTGAAGCAGGCTAAGGAGCAAAAAGTCTAAGCTTCTAGGCCTGAATATTTGATCTGTCCAATGGCTTCCCCCTGGCTGTTCTTGTGATAATGAGTGAGTCTCATAGGATCTGATAGTTTTACAAGCATCTGGCATTTCCCCTGCTGCACTCGCTGTGTCCTGTCACCCTGTTAAGAAGGTCCCTGTTTCTCCGTTTCCTTCCCCCCAGGACTGTAAGTTTCCTGAGGTCTCCCAAGCAATGCAGAACTGTGAGTCAATTAAACCTCTTTCCTTTATAGATTACACAGTATCGGGTATTTCTTCATAGTATCAGAAGAGACTAATACATTGTCTATAAATTGAAAATAGTTTTTTAAGTATGAAGAATCTATAGGGTTTTTCCATAGGATCATATTATTTTCGTTGATAATAATATTATATTACCAATAACGGCCAAAATGTATTGAGTAATTACTTTATTAAGTGCTTTACTTACATCTTTTAACTTAATTATTTTTAGGAAGACAGTATCATACATTACACTTTATGAAGAAACTGAGGATAAAAGAGGTTAAGCAAATGCCTCAGATACAATTCTAAGAGGTTTTCCCCAGAGTTCAAGTTCCTAACTAAGGAATAGTAATGATAATAACTACAGCTAATAATTAAGTGACACTTAATATATGCCAGGCACTGTTCTAAGTGCTTTATGTTAACTAACTCATTTAATCCTCAGATTAATCCTATGATGTGGGTACAAATATGATTCATTTTCACAGGTAAGGAAACCGTATCCCAGAACCAGGGCCCCCAGCTGGGCTGCGGGTGAATCAGAATTAGAAATCAGTCTTCCTGCCTCCAAAGTCTGTACTCCCGTCTGCTCACTGCTCTAGTTCCAGGACTTAGTAGAAATAGCAAGGAAGAAATAAAGAAATAAATTTTAAAGACAAATTTAAAGAACTTGTGATAAATCCAAAACAACTCCAAACATTTCTGCCTGAAGGAGTGGGAGGAAAGTAGCTTTATTCACTAAAATCACTAACAGGTTGATTTGAACATGTTAAATTTTAGGTAACTTTGAAATATGTTGAGTGAAAATTCCAGCTGAGTGCTGGGAAGCATGGGGATGTTGTATGCAATGCAAAATGACTCAATACATGGATTTGAGACCAATAATGTGAGAAGCGATAATTCCTAACTCTCAAAATGAATTGATTTTTTGAGAGAGAAATTTTAGAGGGAAGAGCAGTCTTCAAGAAAATTGATAGTAAAAAGTGAAGAGATGGAAATTTCATAAGGCAGAGTCATGAAGAGAAGAGAACTTTCTTTCTCTTGTCTGATTGCTCTAGTTAAGACTTCCAGTATTATGTTAGATAACAGTGGTGAAAATGGGTATCTTTGTCATGTTCCAGATTTAAGAGGAAACATTTTCAGTTTTTCTTCATACAGTATGACACTAGCTGTGGGTCTGTCATATATGGTTTTATTATGTTGTGGTATGCTCCCTTTATACTCAGTATTCTGAGCTGTTTTTTTTTTCTTTTTAATAATGAAAGATGTTGATCTTTATCAAATGGTGTTTTGGCATCCATTGAAATGATCGTATGGTTTTTGTCCTTCATTCTGTTGATATGATGGGTCATACTGACTGATTTGCATATGTTGAACTAACCTTGCATCCCTGGGATAAATCCAACTTGGTCATGATGAATGATCTTTATAACTTATTGTTGAAGTTCACTTGCTAGTATTTTGTTGAAGATTTTTGCATCAATATTCATCAGAGATGTTATCCTATAGTTTTTATTTATTTATTTATTTTAATATGCCTTTGCCTGGTTTTGGTATTTAGGTAATACTAGCCTCATAGAATCAGTTTGGAAGTATTCCCTCCTCCTTCGTGTTTTGGAACACTTTGAGTAGGATTAGTATGGGTTCTTCAAATGTTTGTTAGAGTTTAGCAGTGAAGCCATTGGGTCCTAGGCTCTTCTTCACTGGGAGATCTTTTATTATGGCTTCAATCTTATTACTTTTTATTGACCTGTTCAGGTTTTGGATTTCTTCATGGTTCGATTTCGGCATGTTGTATGTTCCTAGGAATTTATCCATTTCTTCTATATTTCCCAGTTTATCAACATATCGCACCTAATAATGATCCTTTGAATTTCTACTGTATCAGTTGTAATGTCTTTTTTTTTTCATCTCTGATTTTATTTATTTGGGCCTTCTTTCGCTTTGCCTTAGTCTGGCTAAAGGTTTGTCAATTTAGTTTATCTTTTCAAAAAATCAACTTTTTGTTTCATTGATCTTTTGTATTGTTTTCTTCATTTAAAATTCATTTATGCTCTGATTTTTATTATTTATTTTCTTCAACTAATTTTGGGGTTGTTTTGCTCTTGCTTGTCTACTTGTTTAAGAAGTCTCATTAGGTTATTTATTGAAAGTTTTTCTTCCACTGTGTTCACTGTATTCCATAGGTTTCGATATGTTGTATTTCTATTATCATTTGTTTCAAGAAATTTTTCAAGTTCCTTCTTAATTTCTTTATTGACATACTGGTCATTCAAGAGCATATTGTTTAGTTTCCATATATTTGTATAGTTTAAAAAATTCTTCTTGGTATTGATTTGTACTTTTATTTCATCGTTGTCAGAGAAGATGATTAATATTACTTTAGTTCTTGGAATGTTTTAACTTGTTTTGCGATCTAACATATGGTCTACCCTTGAGAGTGATCCATGTGCTAAGAGAAAAATGTGTATTCTGCAGCCACTGGATAAAATATTATGTAAATATCTATCAGGGCACATTTGTTCTATGGTGCAGAATAAGTCTGATGTTTCTTTGTTGGTTTTCTGTCTGGGAGTTTTGTCCAATGCTGAAAGTGGGATGTTAGAATCTCCAGCTACGAATGCATTGGAGTCTATCTCTTTGGTTCCATATATTTGCTTTATATATCTAGTTGCTCTAGTGTTGGGTACATATATATTTACAATTGTTATACCCTCTTGCTGAATCAACCACTTTGTCATTATATGATGACCTTTTCTGTCTCTTCTTATGGTTTTTGTCTTGAAATCTATTTTGTCTTATAAGTATAGCTACTGATGATATTTTTTGGTTTCCACTGGCTTGGGATATCTTTTTCCATCTCATTATTTTCTATCTTTGTGTATATTTCTAGGTGAAGTGATTTTTTTTTGTTTTTTGTTTTTTGTAATCAATAGATCATTGGGTCTTGTTTTTTCCATCCATTCAGCCACGATATGTCTTTTCATTGGAGAATTTGGTCCACTCACATTCAATGTTATTATTAATAAATAAAGTCTTCCTCTTCCATTTTGTTATTTGTTTTCTGGTCTTCTTTCTTTCGTTATTTTCTGTCTTTCTTTTAGTTAAGGTGTTTTTTTCTGGTGGTATGCTTTAATTTTTTGCTTTTTATTTTTTATGTACCCATCTTGTTTTTAAATTCAAAGTTTCCATAAGGCTTGCAAATACTATTTGGAACCCATTATTTTAAACTGATGACAGTGTAACACTGATGCATAAACAAATAAATATGCAAAAATATTAATAGAAACTCTACACTTTAATTTGTTGTCTCCCTCCCCCACTTTTAAACTTTTTATTGTTTCTCTCTATGTCTTTTTTGTATTATGTCTTGAAAATTTGTTGAGGTTATTATTTTTGATAGGTTTATCATTCAGTCTTTCTACTTAGGTCAAGCGTTTACATCCCACAATTACAGTGTTATGCTAGTATGTGTTTTTCTGTGTGCTTACTATTATCAAAGAGTTTTGTACCTTCAAATGCTTTCTTCTTGCTCATTAACACTCTTTTTTTTCAGATTGAAAAACTTCCTTTAGTGTTTCTTGTAGGACAGATCTAGTCCTGATGAAATCCCTCAGCTTCTGCTGTCTAGGAATGTCATTATTTCTCATTCATGCTTAAGGAATATTTTTGTTGAATATATCATCCTAGGATAAAAGTTTTTTTCCTACAGCACTTTTAATATGTCATACCACTCTCTCTTGTTTCCACTGAAAACTCTGCTGCCAGATGTATTTGAGCATTGTAATATGCTATTTGTTTCTTTTCTCTTTCTGCTTTTTGGATTCTTTCTTCATCCTTGACCTTTGAGAGTTTGATTATTAAATGCTTTGAAGTAGTCTTCTTTGTGTTAAATCTGCTTCGTGCTCTATAACCTACTTGTACTTCAATGTTAATATCTTTCTCTAGGTTTGGGAAGTTCTCTGATATTATCCTTTTGAATAAATGTTCTATTGCTGTCACCTTCTCTACCTCCTCTTTAAAGCCAATAACTCTTAGATTTGGCCTTTTGAGGCTTTCTTGATATATGTTGTAGGTGTGCTTTATTATTTTTTATTGTCTCCTCTGTGTATTCTCAAATAGCTTGTATTCAACCCCAGTAATTCTTCTGCTTGATCAATACTGCTATTAAGAGACTCTGATGCATTTTTCAGCATGCCAATTGCATTTTTCAACCCTAGAATTTCTGCTTGATTCTCTGTAATTATTTCAATCTGCTTGTTAAATTTATCTTGGGAATTCTGAATTCCTTCTATGTGTTATCTTGAATTTCTTTGAGTTTTCTCAAGACAGTTATTTTGAATTATCTGTGTGAAAGGTGAGGTCATGTTTTCTTGGATGGTGTTGATGCTTATAGATGTTTGTCAGTGACCGGCCATTAGGTATTTATTGTAGTCTTCACAGTCTGGGCTTGTTTGTGC